TCTAGCATTCACCATCTGAAAGATGGGAATCAATTATTGACTAATAAATCAGATATTGCCAACAAGCTTGGTGAGACTTTAGCCAAACATTCTTCCTCATCTAATTATGTACCTGCATTCCAAACATATCAAAAACAGCAGGAAAAGAAATCTATTAATTTCAATTCAGACAATGGGGAAGACTACAATGAAACCTTTTCGATACATGAGCTTCATACTGCTCTTGACCAAGCCACGATACTGCGTCAGGAGCTGATGGTATACATTATCAACTCCTGAAGCACTTGCCTGAATCTTGTTTAGAGACGCTCCTCTCTATTTTTGATGACATTTGGACATCTGGTCAATTTCCTTCGTCGTGGCGTGATGCTATTATTGTGCCCATCCCTAAACCTGGACGTGATCATACTGATCCTTCCAGTTATAGGCCAATTTCATTAACTAGCTGTGTTTGCAAGACCATGGAACGCATGATAAATAATCGACTTGTTTGGTACTTGGAAACAAATAACCTTATAACTAATATACAATGTGGTTTCCGTAAAAACCGTAGTACCATCGATCATTTAGTGCGCTTAGAATCTTTTGTGAAAAATGCCATAATTAATAAACAACATGCAGTGTCGATCTTTTTTCGATTTAGAAAAAGCATACGACACAACATGGAAACATGGGATTTTAAAAGATTTACATGACTTTGGATTACGAGGCCGTTTGCCTCAATTTATATCCAACTTTTTAAATAACAGGCAATTTCAGGTCCGAGTGGGTTCAACCCTGTCTGACCATTATAATCAGGATCAGGGAGTCCCGCAAGGCAGTATTTTGTCTGTAACACTCTTTAGCATCAAGATTAACAGTTTATCAAAGGTTTTAACTGATTCAATTGATGGATCACTTTTTGTGGATGATTTTAATATTTCTTGTCGCGGTAAGAATATGCATACTATTGAACGGCAAATGCAGCTGTGTTTAAATAAAATACATAACTGGTGTCTTGAAAACGGCTTTAAATTTTCTAAATCCAAAACTAATTGTATACATTTTTGTAGAAAATATAAACCGCATAAAGACCCGGAACTGTTCCTCAATGGCACTCCCATCAAAGTTGTAAAGGAGGCCAAGTTCTTGGGTTTAATTTTTGACTCGCATCTAACTTTTCTTCCCCATATCAAGTCCCTAAAGACTAAATGCTTGAAGGCACTTGACTTGTTGAAAGTTGTTTCCAATTCTAAGTGGGGAGGGGATCAAACTACCCTCCTACAACTATATCGATCATTGGTACGTTCCAAACTTGATTATGGCTCCATCGTTTATGGTGGAGCCTGCAATAGTAATCTAAAACTTTTAGATTCTGTCCACCACCAAGGTCTCAGACTATGTCTTGGTTCCTTTAGAACTTCACCTGTTGACAGCCTTTACGTCGAGGCTGATGAGCCATCTCTTACACAACGCCGTATAAAATTAACTTTACAGTATATAACAAAACTTTATTCCAATAAGTCAAACCCTGCATATGACTGTGTCTTTAATCCAATATATGAAGATCTGTATAACAAGAAGCCTTCTCTTGTTCCACCTCTTGGTATAAGAGTGAAACCTTTCCTTTCTGCCGCTGGCATTGAGCTAGAACATATAGCTCCTTCCCGTCTTATTTCTTCTCCTCCTTGGCAATTGGTGAGGCCACAGGTTGACCTTACACTGACAACATTTAAAAATCAGAAACAAATGAATTACAATATAAACAAGAATTTAATCAATTAAAAACTAAATATACTACATACACATCCTTATTTACAGATGGGTCCAAGGATGGTGGTGCGGTTGCTTGTGCCACCGTCATTGGGATCCAGAACAATCTCTTCTCGATTACCCAATAACAGCTCTATTTTCACAGCAGAAGCAAACGCCATATTAACAGCTCTTAAATATATTCAAAGACATCCTAAACATAAACAATATATAATATTTTCTGACTCTCTTTCTTGCCTTCAGGCTATTAAAAATATATCTTGCAAACATCCACGTTTAATTGAAATAATCGAATTATATAATGAGCTTGCTACTGGCCAATGCGACATCGTCTTTTGTTGGTTACCCAGCCACGTTGGCATTTCTGGGAACACCATGGCTGATCTTGCTGCTAAGGCAGCCCTCAACAAATCTGTGACGCCGCTTCTTGTCCCATACTCTGATTATAAAGCCAGCATTAGAACATACATCCGCGATCTAATGCAAAAGAAGTGGGACACCCTAGTAGGTATCAATAAATTACATGCAATTAAACCAACTATCGGTTACACCTACTTGGGTTGTCAGTCCAGATTTGAAGAGGTCATCATACGACGATGTCGTATTGGCCACACAAGATATACTCATGAGTACCTATTGAAAGGTGAGGATCCTCCGTTTTGTATCCCTTGTGATGAAAGAATCACGGTCAAGCATGTCCTGCTTGACTGTGTTGAATATTCCATCACAAGGGATAAATATTTTAGTGTCAAAACATTGAAGGATCTTTTTTATAATGTTAATTATCATTTAATAGTTGAATTTTTAAGAGAATTAGATTTGTTAACTGATTTGTAAATAGATAAATATTTTATTATTGGTAGTTTATATTAGTTACTGAGATTGTTAGTGGCTGTACCCTCAAAGGGGGTTGACGTAGTGTAAAATTATTGTCCTCCTGAGGGGGTACGTAAGTCCCAAAACTTTTAAAGTCAATTTAAACTTACCAGGATTTTTAGACGTAGCATTCTTGTCTTTTTAATTATAGCTAACATTTCTTACAATCGCCAGCAGCTGAAGGGATGGTGTAAATCCAACTAGGGTCCATGCAGGTAGCCAAAGTACTGTAAGTCCCCATGGTCCCTAGTTTGGTGATCTACCTTCTGGTGTTGGCGATCTATGGCTTGTTTTTAAATTGTATTGTCCAAATAGTGCTATCAGTTTTAACTCTCAGTACTAGTTTTAGTTGTAATTGTGATATTCTAGTTGTTTTACTGTCCTTCGTCGACAGGTTTTATTATTTCTATATGTATTCTATTTAATGTCAAGTGTTCTCGTCACGATATGGCTGAAATATTGCCGATGTGACGTTAAATAATAACTCACTCACTCACTCACTTTTCCCTCAGTCGATGTAGAATAATGAAGGTAATGTCACATTCTATGGTCGATGTTGATTGCCACGGTTGTTGACTTTTCCGTATGCTTCAGAATGCCAGATTGTAAAGAATACGCCGTAGCAGAGGCCATTGTGTCATCACAAACCATATATTTAGATTCAGTGCCATTTTTTTAGGTTGAATATGGGATTATCATAGCCTTAATACAGACATATATGTCTATATGTCTGTATTAGAACCTTGGTGATGGTCCACATGTTCAGCCTATATATATATATATATATATGTCTGTATTAGAACCTTGGTGATGGTCCACATGTTCAGCCTAAAAGAAAAATGGCACTGAATCTAAATATATGGATTTGTGATGACAACAATTAATATATTCACACACGTATTCTTTACAATCTGGCATTTGAAGCATACGGGGGAAAGTCAACAACCATTCAATGGCATCATTATTTGCAGAGAATGTGACATACCTTCATTTATGCTACATCGAAACAGATATAAGAAGTAGAGACACACATTGTCCTACCAGACAGTGAAACAGAGTGGTAGAAGTGGAAGTGGTGTCACAGACTTGTTGAGTGCCGCCTTAGCAGCAAGATCAGCCATGGTGTTCCCTGAAATGCCAACGTGGCTGGGTAACCAACAAAAGACGATGTCGCATTGGCCAGTAGCAAGTTCATTGTACAATTCAATAATTTCTAATAAAAGTGGATGTTTGCAAGAAAGATTTTTAATAGCCTGAAGACACGAAGGAGAATCGGAAAAGATGATATATTGTTTATATTTACGGTGTTTATTAATATATTTAAGAGCTGTTAACATGGCGTTAGCTTCTGCTGTGAAAATAGAGCTGTTATTTGATAATCGAAAAAGATATTGTTCGGGATCCAATGACAGTGGCACAAGCAACCGCGCCACCATCCTTGGACCCATCTGTAAATAAGGATTTGTATGTATTATATATATTTCTTATTTGACTAAATTCTTGTTTATACTGTAATTCATTTGTGTCTGATTTTTTAAATGTAGTTAATGTTAGGTCAACTTGTGGCCTAACCAATTGCCAAGGCGGAGAAGAAAGAAGACGGTAAGGAGATATAGTTTCAAGATCAATGCCGGCAGCAGAAATGAACGGTTTAATTCTGAAACCAAGAGGTGGAACAAGAGAAGGGTTTTTGTTGTACAAATCCTCATAAAGAGGATTAAAGACACAGTTAAATGCAGGGTTAGACTCGTTAGAATAAAGTTTTCTTATAAACTGCAAAGACAATTTTTATACGGCGTTGTGAAGGAGATGGTTCATCTGCCTCGACGTAGAGACTTTCAACAGAAGAAGTTGTGAAGGACCGAAGACAAAGTCTTAGACTTTGGTTATGAACAGAATCTAATAGTTTTAAATTGCTTGTGCAGGCTCCACCATATACGATGGAGCCATAATCAAGTTTGGAACGGACCAAGGATCGATATAGGTGTAGGAGAGTGGTGTGATCCCCTCCCCACTTAGAATTTGAAACAACTTTCAACAAGTCAAGCGCCTTCAGGCATTTAGTTTTAAGGGATTTAATATGCGGCAGAAACGTTAAATGAGAGTCAAAAAGTAAACCCAAGAACTTGGCCTCCTTAACAACTTTGATGGCTGCGCCACTGAGAAACAATTCCGGGTCTTTATGCGGTTTATATTTTCTACAAAAATGTATACAATTAGTTTTGGATTTAGAAAATTTAAAATCGTTTTCAAGACACCATTTATTTATTTTATTTGCCGTTCAATAGCATGCATATTCTTACCGCGACAAGAAATATTAAAATCATCCACAAAAAAGGGATCCATCAATAGTGGAATTTCCTCAAGTCATGTGATCTAGCTGCCGATCACGTGGTACAGGTCAAGCTTTGGGACAAAATGGCGGCTGTCAACCGTGCCCTTGAGTGAGCCTCGCCAAGTTCAAAGTGCAATATCATCAATATGGGGGTAAAACGATGCGCTTATGGCACTTGTAATAGTGACTCACGTTTCTACCATAAACCACATATGGCAGATGTGTTTTTTATTACATTTCCCAAGCCCACATCAAAGCCCGAGATGTGTGACCGCTGGATCAGAGCGTGTTCCCGCGGTGATGATTTTGGCCGTCACAAGATCACCCAAGATACATATGTATGTTCCAAACACTTTGTTGATGGACATGGTCCTACAGGCGAACATCCTGACCCTATACCAGCTACCGCTAGAGGTGTGGAACTTAGAATATTCAACACGAAGAAGTCAAGACCACCACCTAAAGGCCGTGTGAGCTTGTCGCCAGAGAAGAAAAAAAAAGTCGTTCACAACTCCAGGTATAGTTTGGGAATGAAATGAAATAAAATGAAAAAAAAATACATAAGCAAATAGATAAATGAACAAATAAATGAGTAAATTTTGAATAATTTAAAAAAACCTCTCTTTATAATAATTTATGATGTTCATAAAATATTAATTAATGTGTTTTTTTGCAGGTACTCAATGTGAACATTGATAAGGAAAATGAAATAACTGAGGGTTCTGAAGAGCAAGATAAAAATGTTGATAATGAAGGTATATCCATTGATTATATTAAAGACAAAGCTTTTAAATAGAATGTTTAGTTAATGAAATCCGGATGGGTTTTTAGCAATCCTTATTGCCTGAAAAAGTTTGCAATTATGAAATTATAAGATGTTGTTTAGTGTATATTTTTGGACCATTTATCATCCGCGCAGTTTTGTTTTTTACAAAAATATTTTATTTTGCAGATGCAAGAAAACAGGTTTCCTGTTCTGATGCAGCTACTCAGACTGACATCTTGCATGATGATCTGGCTGGCTACAGTGATGATCAGCTCAAACAACCTAAACTTCTACAAGAAAACTATTCATGGATGATGTTCTCAGAAGTGACAAATCATGCAAATTCTACACAGGTAAAAAATATCTGTTTCAAATCTATAATAAAGACATTCATTTTATGTTTTATTTATTGATAATATATTTTGCATGATATAGACTTTAATGTGTGTTTTAAAATAGTTATTTGACCAATATTAAAAATTATTTCAGGTATTACATCCATCCATCCTACAGTCCAAAGCTGAGAGGTTAACACTGTGGAAAGGGGAAGAAACAACAGTATGTATAGTTTATTGCTTTAATATTGCTTTTATTAATAACCACCTATATACTATCTCTTGACACATATATACTGTATGTAACTTGGTCACTGATCAATATGTCATTTGTTAACCCTTTCACAGGCAGTGCTGTAAAGTGCATCTGTTTACTAAATGGTCACTTGCAAATTATCATTGAGTTCCTAGTACCAGTCATTGTAAAATATATTGATTAATGAACAGATCCACTTGACCATGTTAACTGATACATAATTACTTTTCAGGAGAATGCCAAAAACAAAGATGACCATCACCCCAGGGGACTGTCCACCTTCACAGCTTTCCTCCTAACACTTGTGCGCCTGAGACGTGGCCTTGATGTCAACCATTTGAGTGATCTGTTTGGCATATCATCATCGACAGTTAGCCGTTACTTCTGGACATACATTGAGTTTATATCAAGGGAGCTCAGTTTTGTTGTTAAGTGGACAATCAGACTGCAGGTTCAAGCTCACCTCCCAAAGGCATTTAGATATTTTAAAAATTATAGATTGTACAGAATTTTTTGTGCAGAAACCCTCATTGCCATCTAGTCAGAGAGTGACCTGGTCACAGTACAAACATCACAATACCTTTAAATGTCTGGTTGCTATTTCCCCAACAGGTGCATTTACTTACATCTCTCCACTGTGGTCTGGTTCAGTGTCAGATAGGCGCATTGTTAAAGAATCAGGTTTCCTTGATAACTTAAACTATGGTGATGACATAATGGCTGACAGGGTTTTTTTTATTAGGGATCTCTTAGCATTAAGAGGATGTACATTAAACATACCACCTTTTGCGCATGGTAAGCAGTTAAGCAAGGCAGCTGTTAAGAAAACCAGGAGAATAGCCCATGCTCGAATACATGTTGAAAGGGCAATTGGTCGCCTCAAGAACTTTAAATTTTTACAAGGTATTTTTCCACTGAAATCCGAGAAGCTGATTAATCAAAGTGTACAAGTTTGTGCTCAGTTATGCATTTTTGACAAACCACTTGTAAAGTAACTGTTGTTATTAGAATATTGCCATATTCATGACCAATGACTTTCATGATTCTGTTGTCATGAACATATTGAAATGTTTTGAGCTTTTTTGACAGAGATGTCTCCCATGTATTTAACATATATTTGGGATTACACTCTCTTAGTAAAGTACAGGTTCTAGTACTTTTGTTTGGGTTGAGTCCCATCTGGGATTTGAACCCACAGCGTCAAAGACTCAGGCACCTAATCGCCAGCCTAACCCTCTCAGCCACCACAACTTCCATGTATTGTTGAACATGGCCTAGTGACCTTAGTGAACTGATCTCAAGGAAGTTTAAGTAAAGTTTTAAAAAAATAAAAAGATAACAAAGCCTTAATAAATTTTGTAATTGTATTTCATTTGAAATAACTGCTTCTCCTTAACATGTCTCTAACCAACATGTCTAACAATTTATTATCAATAACACTAACATAGAATGTCATGATGCATTGATGAGTAAGATGCAAGCATGATATGGGACAATATGATCAAGATAGCACTGTTCTTGTGTACTATGAGGCCACTTGTACTGTACTGTACTACTGAGGTAAAATCTGTAAACATGTAACACTCATATACATGCTTAGTTTGACCATTTTGCATATTCGGGAAAAGCATGATGTTACAGTGAGTGACAAAGGAAACACTATACTTGTGTACAATGAAACTATTTGTACTGTACTGTGTACTACCGAGGTAAAATCTGTAAACATGTAACACTTCATATACATGCTTAGTTTTTGACCGTTTTTTACATATATGTGAACAGCATGTTATTTGACAATGAGATCAAAGAAACACTGTACTTGCATACTAAGAAGATACCTGTACTGTACTACTGAGGTAAAGTCTGTAAACATAATTCTGGGGAAAAAAAACATGAAAAAAAAAGAAAAAAGAAAAAAAAAGATGCAAGTTTGCTTGAACTAAGCAGAAAAGTGATCAATGAATTCACACATGCTTAAATAATTCTGGAATAACATAATTCACATAGAAATAATTCAAATTTTGAAGCATCCTATGGAAAAAGTCCTCATTGAACTGAACAGGTATCACCAAAATTCCAGATCTTGTATAAAGTACAAGATCACACACTCTTAGACCATATATCCCCATCAGACCTTGGATCTGGGGATAGTAGTCACAACGCTCAGTAACGGTCCAGACACCATCTTTATTTTCACACCCCACACTTGCACAAGCAGCCTCCTTGGGGGACTTATCTCTAAAACTGTAGGGACACTTTATTTCCATAAGCTTATGTCCATGGCATTTACATGAGTCTGGGGTCGAACTCCACCTCTCCCACTTCCCGTTTCTCCTTACCATAACTGAAAAAAATTCTTTTGATTTTATTTGACTGAAATTAATTAAAGACAGCTAGCTCTCAAATCAGAACTTGCACCTCGTTATAAAATTGAAACATTTGGAAGGAAATCCTTTGCTTGTTCTTCCCTCTACTGTGAAACTCCCACCCTTTGGCCATAAAATCAGCAGTTGACTTTACCCCATTCAAACGTTGGCAGATGACCCACCTGTTTTCTTCTCATTAAAACTAACTACATGTATATTTCCTTCACTTATACATTTCAGTATATAATTGTACCATGTCAGCGCTTTGAGCATGATTCTTGTACATGGAAAGGGTGCATTACAAGTGCACATTTTTTTATCATTATATAATGTAAGTTTAGAATAAACATTAAGTACCCATTGAGAATATGTGGAGTTAACAGATTAGTTATTATTAATTACCACACACCCAACAGTTTCAATCCTAAGCTTCTTTATAGGCACAGCTTCAGTCTGGCTCAAGGCTCTCCTCTTCCACAGACAGGGACCAGATGTCACGGATGGCTTTTCAAAATCCTCAAGCGCATACAGGCTTGCTGCTATGTGTCGACAAGCCCCATCAGCACTGAAATATGAACACAAAATGATAAAGAAATTGAATGATATCTTATATTAACACTGAAGTGTTTAAATGCCAATATATTAACATTTTATAAACGTGATATAAAATCAATTGCAATTTTCTTTTGAATAAAGGTTGCATTAAATAAATATTTCAAATACATGTATTGAAAATATATTCAGTGGTGGATAATTGTACTGAACATGCATTAAAACTTACCCAACAGGACATTCACAAAATGCCAGTTTGATCATTGCTGTTGATTTTTCCATGAGGAACCACATATCATATGTTGGCTTTCCAAGATAGGAAGAATCCTTCTGTGTTGGTTTCACCTTTGACTTGAATGCACATAGGTTACTGGCATCACTAATGTCACAATATTGAGGTCTAACACATGACCATCATAAAACAAACGATAGTCCCTCAAAGACTTGAAAGCCTTCAATTTCCTCCTATCATAATCAGATCTATGAAATAACAGGTAGTTGAAGATATCATACAAGCCCAAAAGTCTGGGATGAGGCTGAAGTCAGATGTGTGTAAAGTAAGAGCAAATGGATCATCAAAATCACAGTGTAAGTCCGTGAGACACTGCTTCATAAACGTTTCTGGTCGACAGTCATGTTGAAAAATCGGGATCAGGCTCCAATTCAAGTTTGACAACTGCATTGGCTAAAGCTATGAGAACGTCTTTTCTGTGACCTGTAGTTGTTATTCCGTACTTTTTCAAATAATCTTTAAGTTCTGGGACTTTCAATTTCTCCATGGTAATTAATCATAACTTATATAAACTGCGTATTATGACATGGACCTGTCATCGGAGACGTGCCGACTACCAGATCTACATTCTAATTGCTCAGCCGAATTATGCAGCCTCAGAGAAATATTAGATACACTAAAGGGACAAATTATATACAAGAACTATTTAGAACAAGTATTTCATTCACTAAATTCGATAAACTGCGAATAAATGTTACAACAAACGTGATCAGTATCTACAACGATGCTTGACAGACGCCATTTTGTAATGAAAGCTTGACCTGGTCACGTGATCGCGTCATTAGTCACGTTACCACCGGAAAATGGTCTAT